GTCGATGCGCGGCGCGGGTGCGGCCGGCCCGCCCGGGAGCGCGGGGCAAGGTGACCGCAGCGGCAGCGGCTGCCCCGGCCCTCGGTGCGGGCCCCCGGCCGGCGGGGTCGGGAGTTACGGAATGACACATCTGCCCCAGCAGACGGCAAAGTCCTCTAGGCAAGCTTAAATTTTAACCTGAGTGAGGGAGCGCCTGTCTGTGCTGAGCAGCTCCTGCGCTCCTGTGACCCCTGCTCTGCCCGTGGAAGGGGCCCCTGCCGCCTCTGCCGCTGTGCCCTGCTCGGCTGTAAGTGCAGGGGCTCCTTCCTTGCCCGCCCCAGGGCGATCTGCAGTAAATCTGTCTGCAACATCGAATCCGTCTGCAATAAACGTGCCCTTCCCTCGGGGAGTGTTGTATCTGTCACCTGAAATATTTTTATTTCCTGCTCTGATCTTGTTTGCATAAAAAGTACAAGGCAGTGAGCTGGTGAGAGAAGTGCCTCCAGAATTTGGAAAATTCAGTGCTGCTTGCCTAAAACACATCAGCACAATTCAGGGCAGAACCCAGATGAAAAGACGAGCTACCAGAGGGGAAACCTTTTAGCCCTCTAGCTCTCTCCAGATTTTATTCTGACACAGCCAACGCGGGTACAATGACTGATGTTCACTGGGGAACCAGCAAAGCTTAGATTCACATCTCTCTAATTCCTTGTAACGTCTTACTTCAGCACCTTCAGAGCCACAAAACTGATTAAACTTAGAGTTCCATATAAGAATGTAAGCTTTATAGTGAATCTAGTTTTTGTTCTGTGTTTCCTGATGGGCAGTCCGGCTGCCACTGCCAGCTGCAGAGTGACCGTCAGAGTAATTCACTGATTATTTAGAACAACCAGTACGTTTCATTTTCAAACTTACTGTGCCATTACTCAGCATCTCTCTGACTGTTAGACCTGGCCTTGTGGCACCCCGGGAGGGAGGGAGGGAGTTGTAACCTATGAAAAGGCTGATGTTACTGTGCAGGGCATCAGGAGCGGGGTGCAGGGGGTTTGGGCCATTTCCTCCTGCACTTGGCAGTTGCAGGTCTGAGCCCTGTCCCCTTGTCATGGTTCCTGCTGCCCTGGCTTGATCTCTCATTTCTGGACTGTGTTATAACCTGTCCAGCCCTGGAATCAAATATCCAAATGTGGCCGCATCATAATCCACGTGCTACTGGTAACAAGCATTTTTAGGGGGGGCTTAGCACTGCCAAGAGCTTCACATCCTTCTTTCCACACAAGTGTTTCCTGCAGAAGTACAACATGCAACTTGTCACACAAAACAGAAGCACCAGTTTCTTTCTGGCCGAGATAAGAGAAAAAAAAAGCCACCTGTAAAAGCTTTATCTGAACCAAACAATCTGATTTGCATTGGCAAGACTGATTGCTCATACTTCCCTCTAGGTTTCTGAGCAGAGCTGGATAAAGGTTATAAGGAGCTGAATGCTGTGTGTGATTCTTATCTCACAGCTCACAGCACAGCTTTCCCAAACTGTGAATCCTGGTGTGCAAAACAACTTGGTTTGAAAGGAAGGCTCTGGGCAGGTTGCCCGTCTGGGTTGCAAATGAAGGGGGCTACAGTTATTTCCACATTTTTACATTCCTGCATGTCCACTAGAGTGGTGTCTGTGTTCTAATGGAAATGTGTGTTTCTCTGCCAAGGTTGGGTGGTACAATGCTGTTCTCCAGCCAGCCTTCCACCTCCCCTACCCAGATGACACGCTGGCCTTCGTGATCCTCAGCACGCCGTCCATGTTCGACAAGGCCCTTAAGCCTTTTGTGAACAAAGAACGATTAAAAATAATCAGGGATCCTGTGGATCAGTGTATTTCCCATCATTTATCACGTGTGAAGGAGGTAAGAAGCTGAAATCCCCATTCCATATAGTGCTGTGGCACATAACCAGGTGGGCTGAGCAGCAGACAAAGCCCTGCAGGCTCCTGCCTGCTCTTTGGAAGGGTGAAGCATTATTCATGAAGGAGAGAGCATCAGCAGGCTTTGGGTGCTTTACTTGCATGTTCTGCCTCTGGATTACATTCTCAGCTGTGAGGGAGCTCTGCAGGCACAGGCTGAATGCCCACGGCCTCAAACCTTCCGATAGAATTCAGCAGCAAGATGTGGGAGTCTGCAGGCTTCACATGTGCCTGATTTGCTGCCATCCAGCAGTTCTGGAGTGGCAAAGCTTTTTTCATGAGCCTGGGCTGATCTTTTCAAATTTTCCCAGAAATTCCCTGACCAGAGGGTGGATGTCATGTTTGACTACGAGATGCTGCCGAGCCGAAAGCCCAAGTTCCTGGCACAGACAGCTGCCCACGTTGCTGGAGCTGCATATTACTACCAAAGGAAGGATGTGAAACTTGATCCTTGGGGGAAAAAGGTGAGGCAGAAACACAGTCTGGGAAGAACCACTGAACTGCAAGCACTGAACTGTGCAGTGATTGTTTGCTCGCTAGTCACTAGTTCATCTTGCAGGAAACTACAAAGTCCAGAGCACATGCAGGTTCATAAAGTGTTTCAGGTGGGAATTGGAAACTTCCAAGATTCTTCAGGGTAGTAGGGAGATGTGCATGGAGAGAAATATCTTAATCTGTTAAACCTACTTAGATAGAAGAATAAATGGCAGTGTAAAGGAAAACCTGTTGCTTAGAGCATTACAAACTGGGGGGAGAATGCTCTGTGGTTAATTTCTGTAATAGATTTTCAGAAAGGAACCTCTCCCCACATTGTAGGGAGGTGTGTGTGGGCACAGGAAAATGGGAGTGAAACGCAGTGCTTCGAGCCACATGTTCAGGAAAGTTTTCCATTCTGCCCTGTACAGCTCTCCAAGAGAAGGTTGTGAGAGTGAAAAGCATCTGATGGATGCTTTGAAGTCTAGCCTTGATTAGATACAAAGTGAGGCAGCCTGGATATTTTTTTTCTTCCAGAGGATCTTTGGTGTTTGTATCCATCCCAAGTATGGCGGCTGGTTTGCTATCCGGGGTCTCCTGCTCTTCCCAGCCATTCAGGTGCCATTCCTGGAACAGCCTGCCCCTGTTGACTGTGTGAGCACGGAGGAGAAGAGGATTGAGCTGCTGGAGCACTTCAATTTCCACTGGCAGGACGGCCGCTACAGGGACATCATTGAAGTGAAGGAAAGGTACTCGGAGGAGCAAAAAGCCTATTTTGCCACTCCTCCAGCCGAGAGATTGCGGCTGCTGGGGCTCTCACAGGAAGCCCAGAGAATCGCATTTCACTGAGAAACCGGCTCCGAGGAGGGCAGAGGGCAGCAAAGGGTAACTCCTGAGCCCTGGCTTTTCCCGGTGCCGAGGGGGAGGAGGAGGATGGTTATGCTGGTACAGACAAACCCGAGCAGCCTCAATGCAAACATTGCAGTCAGAGCTTCCCAGGGAGAGGGGCACTGCTCCAGGGGCTGGGGGAGCTGGGAGCCGTCTGTTCTGTGCTGCTGCTGATCTGGGGTGTGCTTGGGGGAGTCCAGGAAGGTGCCATTAGCCTTTGCTTGGGAGTAGTTTAGACATCCTGGCAACTCCAAAATCCATGCTGCTCATTAGAGAAATCACTTTTGTTCTCAAGAATTTTCTTTCTGAGTGTTCTGGTTTTATTCTTTGTAGGTGTAAAAAAAAATTCAGTTATTGTACTACTTAGTTGGATTTTGTCTAAACTTGGGGCAGGTACGTTTTCAGATGTTCCCTAAGGAACACATGTCCAGTCTTTACAGTCTTGCCTAGGTCACATTTAAGCATTTATCCATTCATAGAGCTGACTGGAATATTGGGAAAGATGCTGAGTAATGTCCATATGATTGGAGGTTTTACATACATTAAGATAATTGAATGAAAAAGACAATTCTCATGGCCTTTTCTAAGGTAGACCACATTTGTGTTAAAAGTATTTTTCAGTGCCAGCACACAGCACACCCCCCACAGTTACTGCCACAGTTTCCTGGTGTGCTTTCTTTGTGGGAAAGATTGCAAACCTGCACACGTGTAAAAGCCATGGCACTAGGCCTTGTCACATGCACAGGCAAACAAGCACAGAAGAAATGGAAATATTAATGACATTATGTTACTTATATTGCTGGATTAAACATGTTCAGACAGAAGCAACATTTTTTACATGACTTTGTCCTGTTACATTTGTTCAGAGGCTACAATGCACCTGGAAATCAGGAATTAATTTCTCTTTGAGCAATTTGAGGCTCAGATCTCGTTAAAGTGATATCATACATTAAAATAATATTTTGTGGGAGTTGTTTTACTAGACTGCAGTGCAATGTTGCAAATGGACAGGCACTTTTTCCCTTTTGATGGTATCAACACGATGATGAAGAAATACTCACTTTGCAGAACTGAGCCCTTTTTTATGCTGGGATTCTTCAAAGCTTTTGGAGACTCCACCACTAAGGCTGCCCTCACCGTTGTTCACTGCTTGACACAGTTGCCCATAGTCACTACACTAACTCATTGTAATCCAAATTCAGGATAACAAGTTTGCTTCCCTGTAAACAGAGTAGTGAGCATGTGATCACTGGGTTTGTTCACTGCATTTGCTGTTACAAAAAAGTCTTTGTTGTTTTCCATGCTTTGGTCATCTCTGACTAAGGCAGGCACCTGACCTAGAATGTGATAGAGGTATTGTGATGTTTAATTTAATGAAAGAATGAAATTTGTTTAAAATCTGTTCTTTTGTTACAGAATTACTTCTGGTTCAAATTTGTTTGATGTTTCAGAACTTTGAAACTGAACTGTAATTTAACGGGCTTGAGCTAATGGCTCCTGTTAGTAACAAAGACAAAATACTGATTCTCTTAGAAGGATATAGATTTGAATCAAATCTATCTTTGTACATTACAATTTAAAGTAAAATATTTTGATTTTTTGGTATTGATTTCTTACAAATATTTAATATTTTGTCTTAATTTATTAAACAGATTACCATGGTCACTGCATTTCAATTTCTGTAGTTTATTTATCTTCAAATGGTATTTTGGTTACTAACTATACTAAGTTGTAAGTAAACTTCAGTACTGAGTATTTTTATTTAAACAATGCAGTTCTTAACTTGTGGAGAACTCAAGATGTTCAAGCGAGAATCAATCATGGTTTTTTTAACATCCTGAAAAGTGTTAGCTACCTAAGACACACCAGTCCAGTATCTGAAAACTAAGGAAAAAAAATGGTTATCTTAGCAGAAGTTGGTATACTATTATCACAGGCCCACTGGGATATAAAAAATCACACTATGAGTAAGTCCAATAAAGGTTTATCTTTCCCAGATCATTTCAGCAAGAGCATTAACAGCGAGCACCATGACAGCGCATGTCTCATTACTTCCTCTGTTCTTAACAGTAACAAAAGTTCCAGATGTCCAGTGAGACATAACTGAGGGACTTTCCCTCAGTAGCACTAAAGTAAGGCCTGTAAGTACTGGAATTTTTACTAGATAAAACCTATTAGTGAACAGAGTCACAAATCCGTGTTCCTTGTGCTTCTGGGAATACAGTTGTGTCAGGCAGAACAGAGTGCAAATATTCAGCAATACCCATTGCTACTACAGTGATTTTGGAGTGACTTGGACGGGCATTACTTCCTTTCTCTTAGCTGTGAGATCCACAGCTGCACAGTGAGATACACAGTGAGTAGATTTCTCCCCTTGCTGGTTGGAGTATAATGGCCTTTGTCTAATAAAATTGAAGTTTGAGAACCTGTTTGACTTACCTCATCTCTTGAGACAAGACCAGACATGGTGAGGAATGGATCAGCCTTGGATCCTGAGGCATTGTGAAGGCATTCTTAGTTTCAGCCCTTGCAAATGTCAAACAAGTAATTGCAAATACTTGGATAGATTTACTAGTTCAAGTATCACATTTTACATTTTTAGACAAGCTTTTCTCTAAATCCTAATTTTTAAACATTTATTAAAGACTCTTTTCCTCAGTATAACCAGTAGGGCGAGTATTCAAGAGCTGAACAGGAAAAATAAATTAAAAGCTACTTGAATTTAAATTCAGTTTTAGCTACAAGGCATTCAGTACATTTCAAGCTAATAAAGTAGTTTATGGAGAATTAACAAATTTGTAATAGTTTCATGCATTTACCATTCTTACTCTCCTTATGTTTTCCCTATTTTTACTTCATTAACCTAAAAATAACTGAGATTTTTATAACAATTAAAGATTTGACAGACAATACCAGTTAAATGCAAAGCACAGTTTAACCTGGTGACCAGCAGCCATTGGGGTTGTTGCTCAGAAAAACACCTCAGAAAACACAGTTGGTGGTTTTTGGTATCAGTTTGAATCAGTTACATCTCAGTGCTACAATAATAAGCACTGAAGTTTCTTTGTGGTATGAAAAAGAGTGTAGCAAACTTTATTCCTGATATTGACTTGTTTCCTTCTCCATAAAAAGAGTGGCTTGTAACAATGCTGTTTTCCTCTGAACTACGGAAAACTAAAGATGTTTTGCTGTATAAATGAGTGCTGCTGTGTCAGTCAAAAATAGGCAACCTTAGGAGAGCAGGGAACTCTTCTAGTTTGTTGTTTTGATGGGGGTTTTAAACTCTGGTTTGGGTTGGGGTTTTTTTTTAGGGCTAGATTGCCCTCCTCTGGATCAGAAGCATAATTTTTACTCATTCAGTATAATATTCATGGTCTTTTATTCATTTGTGACCAAAATTATTGTTGGTGTAGCTTCTATTTGACATGGGTTATATTTCTGAGAATTCACATTGACTTGAATTGAAATGGAATCAAAAAACCCCTGAGTTAGGACTGATGCATTTCAAAACAAGGTAGTGGCAGCTACTGGTCAGTGCCAGTGTGGTTATCAGCACTCTTTGTTGAGCCTCGTGCAAAAAGTGTGTTGAATAAATTAGCTTTGAATACTGACTTCAGCAGCAGCAGCAGTTCAAAACTCTTCCTCTGAGGTTTTGCTGCTCACTGCAGCAGAGAAACAGCTGCACCTCTGCAAGCTGAACTTTCACAGATTCATCTACCAAAATAGACAAATGTATTCACGGGAGGGTTTTTGCTGTTACACTGGCTTCCTGTGCTATCATATATCCTGTGACAGATCATCCATCACGTTTCCTTCAGAAAACAGAACAGGGCACTTCCCTTCTAGGTTTTCAAGGAGGAAACAGCACCAAGGAACACAAATGAGCTTTTCTTTTCCCTCTGTGACTGAAAAAGATGTTCACATTCCTTAGGAAATACGGTGGGAAACTTGAAAGAATTGAATATTCTGTCATAAAATGAGCAGTGAGAAATTTTAGTGGAATGATTAAAATCTCTCCAGTAATATGCCAAGATGTGCAAAAAATGTGATTATATATGCATACAAGTATTTGAAATGGCTACTATCATTCATTAATATTACATCTATAATTCTCATGTTACCTTTGTTGATATTTGTACATAACTCAGTGACAAAGCAATTTTACTTTTAATAACTGCATGTTTTCCCCCAAACACCTTGAAAAGTTCTGAAAATCAAACACATTTACACTAAGTTGCTTGGGGTTTTTTTCCTCATGTAGAGCAAACAATGGGACAGGAAAATTCCTTTAAGTGCATTACAGAAGGAGTGGAGGGATTTTTCTGTGTTTCCTAAATTTATGCAGAACCACTGCTTTTTCTGTGAATGTATAAACCCTCTTATTCCTTTTAAAGGAATTAGTCTTAGGTTTTAATTTCATGTCATAACCTTTTTTCCAGTATTGTTCAGACTAGTCTTCCTGAATCATTCACTGTTGCTTCAGTCTTCCAAAATGTAAAAAACTGCCTACTGTTGTGAAAAGTGAATTTGATGAAATACATCCATTTTAGGCAATGATGTTTTATCAAGTGTAGATTGAAGACTTTTTTCCTTTCTAGACAAAAGATATTGGTTTTACTCATCAGTGCAGATACTTCAAAAATCTGTTGCTGTGGAATATGGAACATAAACCTACTGGACTTGGTGTCAGAGGACAGTGCAACCTTAATGACTTCCCATATATTTAGTCACATAACTGTGCTCAAACGGTTTCTTGCACAGAAACATTCTAAATTCAGACACGTGTCCCTATAACATATAGTGATTCAAGTTTCAGGTGAAAGAGCCAAATTTCACATTGAAGCAAACCTTTCATCACTAGGTGTGGTGAGAATTGCTTCCCACAGGCTCAGCTCCTGTTCAGGAACACTGCAAACAACTCACAGCCTGTTCTCCTGCAGCCACCCAGGGGTGTGCAGCACAGGGCCAGTGGTAATGCAGAATTTGTTTGACTCTACATTAAAGGCAAACTCAAGTTTTTGCTTTCCAAGGATTAAAAATAGAACTACTATATTCATGAGCAAAAACCATTTCTTTGATTTCTTTGTTCAGTGTTCTTTTTGTACGTACCATTAAATTGTATTAAAAAAAAAGACAGTAACTGCTCTTACACTTTCTGAATTAATTGTCCAAGCGTGCTGCGTTCCACTACTCTGTACTTCTCTTATTTCACCCTTTGCAAATTAGAACCAAGACATTTCTGGTTTAAGTCCTCTATCTGTCTAGCAATATACATCAGAATATACATTTGCAGACTGTCATGTAATGTAATACTGAACACCAGACCCACTGAAAATTTCAGGCTATTAATACAATAAATCTGAGTATTTTAATATAATCTTTACATAACTGCTCTTTTGATGTGTAACTACTAAAAGCTGCTTTCATGGAGCTTTTGCAAACAGACTTTCCTAACCAAAGGGCATCATTTTGCAATACCTGTGAGATACAAAATGCTTGCTTTTGTTCTTTGAACTTTATTGATTTGCTGGACAATCCAATAACATATTCAACAAAGGCCTGATAAAAAGGATGGAATACTTGTTAAGAAAATAGTACTTTTAAACATTATTAACTTTTTATACTGTTTTTCAAAACTACTGAGAAGCTCACTTTTAATGTTTAAAGAATTATCACAAAGTGATAATTCTTTAAACATTAAGAGGCAATTTCTTTCTTCTAAGCATCTAACTATAAATATGCAGTTGTTCATTTTGAGATAACTAACTCAGAAGTTGTACAAAGTCTAGTAAAGGTTAGGTTCTGTATGTTGAATATCGAACATCACATCCTATATATGCCATATATATATAATATATAGAATTTATGTCTGATGCACAGCTTTGTATTATACATTCAAAAAAATCAAGTTGCTCCTACAAAAACGCTATTATCTGAAAACTTAATTACAAATATCTGTCACAACATGAAGGAATAATTTCTTTTTAATTCTAGATAATATGAGAGAGTACAATGTGTGTGTATTGGGTTTGTGTGGCACAGTTTGGTAGCAGAGGGGGTGACAGGGGTGGCTGCTGTGAGAAGCTCCTCGAAGCTTCCAAGGGAGCCACTGCCAGCCATGTCTCGGCTAACAGAGCTGAGAAGGGGACAATTGTGCAACAACCTGGAACTGCAGAGAGAAGAGGGAGAAGAGGGAGAATGTGAGAGGAACAGCTGTGCAGACACCAAGGTCAGTGACAAAGGGGGAGAAGGTGCTCCAGAGCAGAGATTCCCCTGCAGCCTCATTATTTCTCATTATCCTACTCTGATTTGATTGGTGGTAAAATTAAGCCAATTTCCCAAGTGTATTTTGCCTGAGACATTAACTGGTGAGTGATCTCTCCCTGTCCTTACCTTGACCCATGAACCTTCCACTATTTTCTCTCCCCTGTCCAGCTGAGGAATGGTTACATAAATCCCCAGGAATCACAGCAATCAGCAACAAATTAAGAGATCTAGGATAGAGACACAGTAAAATGTATTTCAATTTCCCTTCACCTGACTATTCTAAAGAAATAATGAATAAAGATTATATTTATAATAAACACTCAAACTAGGAAAATAGATGTACAGTCACTCACACATTAAAAAAAAAAAAAGGCAAATATCACATCTATCCTTTCTGATTTACATGTTCAGGGAAAATCCCCCTAGGCAGCTACCCATCCTGTCAAATTCAAGCACTGCTTGAGTGAGGTTTTTACCTCACTGGGAAATACGGCACCTGTTGGTTGTGAAAGCAAAAGCAGTTCATAATTGTAATTAAAATACAATCTGCATCTTGGTGCATGGAAAAAAACCCACCTCAATAAATGATTAAAATAATTAAAAAAAAAATTACAGTTATGTGAATATAATAAAAGTTACACCAGTCTAAAATGTCATGATGCAAGGAGTGGGGTGTAAGCCCCAGAACACTTACTGGAGAGCCCAAGCTACATCTGAATCAATACAAACTTTAAACAAAGAAACAGACTCTTCTTGGTTTGAAGTAGTTCTGTTACCCATTTTTTGTGTGCTATTCTCTTGGAAATGTAAATAATGTAAACACAGCATAGCAAACCTTGCTGGGAATGACTCATTTGGCTGAAGAATGGAAAAGAATTGTTTAATTGCATTGATTTCCACTGTCAATCCTTTGATGCACACATATAATACAGTTCCTAATCCACAGGGATTTGGTTTCTTGGCTGTTTGCAGTTTCCACAGTATCATCACTCACCTGTGACTGTGATGTTTAAGCAGGTACAGTCTGTAGCCTCCCACTGTGGGGAGCTCAAGGTGGGTAGGACACACGGGAAATTACAGCACGTGAAGGAAACTCCTCACACCAGAGGAGTGGGATGAAGAAATGAGCACAAGGGGTGTTTCTACAGGACACTCCAG